TGCAGTGCCCAAAGCGGGTCCCAGAGCCAGGCAGGTTCCCCCTCTTTGCTAAGTTCCTGCTGGAGGATGGGGGCGCTGCCAGGGTGAGCTGGGGTTAGACCGTCCAGGAGGCACCAGAGATGTCGGGGGGGGGGGGGAATGTGTGTGTGACGTGTGTATTTTGTGTGTGACCTGGGTGTTACATGTGTTTTGCACATCTATTGTGTGTGTATGTTCCATGACTGTATTTTGTCCATGTGTGCACGTTACAGTCATGCTGTGTGTGTGTGTGTCGTGTTACGTGTGTGTCACACAAATGTTGAGTGTGCGAGGCCTGGCCTGTTCCATGTGCGTAGCATGTGGGCCTCTCTGCGTGCTGTGTCCATGGCGGGTGAGAGCTGTGTGCGTCCGCTGTGCCTGTTGTGTGAGCGTAGTGAGGGCGTGTGCCTTGGGTGTGTTCACGTGTGCACTCCCTGCAGACTGGGTGGGTTAGTGTGCACATGTATATTAGCATGTCCAAGGGGGCCCATTGGGTGAGCCTTGGGGGAATGTAGGAACCAAACCCAGGCATGGGACAGGGCAAAACCCACCCGCGGTGACCCGGCCCATCCGCTCAGGCATGGGGGCTGTGGGTTGGGATTGAGGGGAACCGGGAAAGCGGAGTGTGGGGGAGCTCGGGCTGCGGGTGGTGATCGGCAGTGTGGGGGAGGTGATCGGTTGCCTGCTGGGGGGGCCATCCTCTCTCCTGAGCCCTGTGAGCTCATCTCCCTCTGCCCAGGTGTGGCTTAGCCCTACGCACCAGCTCACCAGGCAGCTCTAACCCCTTCTTTGCCGGTCTGCTCCTAGCGGGCATTTCCTAGGGCTGGCCAGCATCAGAGCCGCTGGCACGGGGGTCTCTGCAGAGCCCAGAGCCTGAAGGGAGGGAGCCAATCTCGCCCAGCAGCACATCGGACAGTCCTGCTGCCTTGGCTCACCTGGCAGGACTGCAAACGCTCCACACGCTGGCTAGACAGGGACCCCTCACCCAGTGCTGAGATGCAGCCACCTCTGGGGTGGGGCCCGGGGGCTGTTTATACAGGGACCCCTCGCCCGGCACTGAGCTGCAGCCATCTCTGGGGTCAGGCAGTTGTGTATGGACATTTCTATGCATTTAAGGGTGATTGAGGCCCACTGTTCCCATGAACCCTTTGCTGGCTCTGGAGCGTTTTCGCTCCATAGGATGCCCTTTTGCTCTCAAGTGATTTTGGATGGTGGAGGCTGATTCTATCAATGGAAGATTTGGATGGTGGAAGATTCTATCAAGAGATTAGGGATTGTTCTAGTGTCTTGCCGTTCTTACGTATTAGGTGTATTACGGTAGCACCCAGGGCCCCGTGGCGCTGGGTGCAGTACAAACTCCAAAAAGATGGTCCCTGCCCCGATCTAGGTACAAGCCCAGAGACAGCAGGTGGGGACGGAGTGATGGGTGGATGGAGGAGCCTACAGGGCCAGCTCTGGGCAGCTTGACAGCAGTGGGCTCCGCTCCCCAGCAGCCTGGCCAGTGTCGGGGCGGGGGGGGGTGGTGGTTAGTCGGCGTCTCAGCCAAGGGGAGGTTGGAGGAGGGTTTGGCAGGACAAGGAGGAGCTTTGCGGGGGTTTCCAGGAGCCTCCCAGCACGAGGGGCAGTGGGAGGAAGCCCGAGGGGCTGGTCCTAGGGGGGCGCTGGAGGCTGGCAGCATGGGCCAGTTGCAGGCAGGAGTGCAGAGACGATCTGCCATGGGGCACTGGGGGTGGGGGGGGAGCAGGTTCGGCCAGGATCACACAGCCGAGCAGCTGTTGTGGAGTGCATGGAGCTGGGGGGGGGGGCTACAGTCCTGGCACCGAGAGGGCACTGCCCATGGCCAGGGAGGAGGGGGCTCCATGGCTGCCATCGCTGGCCCTTCCATCTCTGTGCCCCCCAGCCAATCACGCCCCAACTTCTGGGGCTGGCCTGGGCAGGCAGGGGCAGGGCCCAGCTAATGAGCTCTGCTGGGCAGGGAGCCCTGGGCAGGGACTGGGTGGCTGGAAAGTCTGTGCTGAGATTCGAACCTGGGCGAGCAGGGCACTATGAGCTACAGCGTGTGGGCAGCACCCCCTCGGCCTGCAGGTCATAGCCCCTATAGCGCCCCTTGGCCTGGGGCGAGTCTCCCTCCGCTCGGGGGGAGGCGGGGTTCGATCCCTGCTCTCGCCTAGGGGGAGGCTTAGGGGCAGCCCCGGCAGCCCCCTCCCGGCTCAGTCCTTCCATCACCCTTTCTCTGGGGGAGGGGAGCCCAGGGGTGGACTAGCAGGGGGCTGCAGGTCGGGAGTGAGGGGCACCAGAATCCCGGCTTAGCACTAGCTTGCATTACGGCGTCTCCGTGGATCCGACCCCCCCAGCACCCGATGGCGTCTCAGAGCCTCCTCGGGGAGAAGCTGGCACGGGGGTCGGGGGGGCCAGTAAAATCCAGCCTGGCTTACCGCCCCCTTCCGAGCACTGCTGGCGGGGGGCCGTGCTCGGCCTGTGTGGGTGAGATAAAGCAGCCGGGCATTGTAGGGGCTCTGCCAGCGGCAGGTTTGTGTTTGTTCAGCTGCTGCCTCCCGATAAGGGTTTAGTCGCTGGATAAAGGCTGGGGAGGGGGGACCTCTCCCCCCACCAGAACTGATGGAGGGAGGCGTGGCTGGGGCAGGACTCCTGGGTTCTCTCCCTGGCGCTGGGAGGAGTGGGGATGGGGTCTAGTGGTTAGAGCGGGGGACCTGGGGATCAGGACTCCTGGGTTATATCCCAGCTCTGGAGCTGAGTGTGGCCAAGCGTTAGGGGGCTGCCCCATAGCTGTTACCTGCCGGGGCCCCTGGTGGAGCAGCCTCCATCCAGCCCCTGCCCAGGCTGGGCTGAGGGCACTGAGCTCTGGGACGTCTCACAGCTCCTGGCCAGCCAGGGAGGGCACTGCCCTGCACCCCCCAAGCACTGTGAGCCCCACCCCACTGGGTCGTTAGCCAGCACTAACGAGGGCTCTGGGATAGAATCCAGGAGGCCTGCTCCCGCCCGCTGTAACCACCAGACACCCCTCCCCTCCCGGAGCTGGGGAGAGAACCCAGGAATCCTGGCTCCCCGGCCCCTGCTCTAACCACCAGACCCCACTCCTCTCCTGCAACCCAGACGCAGCGTGCCCGGCCTCTTCCACTCTGACCCCAGGCTGGCTCACTGGCCCCGGAGCTGGCGGGAGCTTGTGCCTGGGGAGGCCTCGAGAACCTGTATGTTTCCCGTGCCAGCCCCCTCCCCCCGGCCCCCCCCCGCCATCGCTTTGAAGGCTGCGTTTCCCCAGTCCCAGGGCTCAGCCCCCAGCCCCGTCCGTCCCTCAGCCATGGGGCCGCAGCTAGCCGCCAGCACTAAAATGGCTGCCAAGTTTTAAGATGGCTGCCAGCAGCCGGCAGGGCCGAACGGGGAGCGGGGCCTGAGCCAGCTTTTGGGGAGCCGGGCCTTGGAGGAGATGGACCCGGGGCAGGGGGCGGCGCCCCGGCTGATGCCAGGAGGGGGGCAGAGCGTGGGCTGTTGACATAGGTAACCCGCAGGCTGGCGGCCGCCTGTGCCAAGCCGGCAAAGGAAGGCCGAGCCAATTAACTCTTTGGAGGCCTCAGGCCTGGAGGTTCCCGCTGGGCAGCCTCACGGGGCACAGCTGGAGAATCCAGGGCAGCGCCGACCTCTTGGGTCCTCGGCCCAGTCCTGTGCCCAGCGCCAGCCGCGGGGCCATGGCACCACCCTGCCGCTGAGGGGCCGCTGCCTTCGCCAGGGGATGCAGGCTGAGGAAGGGGGTCGGCACGTGGCCCATTAACCCAAGCAGAGGTTACTGCTAAATACGCATGGCACCAGAGCTGCAATGCCCGGGCAGTGTCACTGCAAAGCCCGACCGGTGCCACTGCAATGCCCAAATTGCGCCACTGCAAAGCCCAGGCTGCACCACTGCCACACCAAACTGTGTCACTGCAATGCCCGAACTGTGCCACTGCAACGCCCGAACTGTGTCACTGCAACTCCAGGGCTGTTCCACTGCAACGCCCGAACTGTGTCACTGCAGCACCCGAACTGTGGCACTGCAACGCCCGAACTGTGCCACTGCAACGCCCGAACTGTGGCACTGCAGTGCCCGAACTGTGGCACTGCAACGCCCGAACTGTGGCACTGCAACTCCAGGGCTGTGCCACTGCAACGCCCGAACTGTGCCACTTCAACTCCAGGGCTGTTCCACTGCAACGCCCGAACTGTGTCACTGCAACGCCTGAACTGTGCCACTGCAACTCCAGGGCTGTTCCACTGCAACGCCCGAACTGTGTCACTGCAACTCCAGGGCTGTGCCACTGCAACGCCCGAACTGTGCCACTGCAACGTCCGAACTGTGTCACTGCAACTCCAGGGCTGTGCCACTGCAACGCCCGAACTGTGCCACTGCAATGCCCAAACTGTTCCACTGCAATGCCCAAACTGTGCCACTGCAACTCCAGGGCTGTGCCACTGCAACTCCAGGGCTGTTCCACTGCAACGCCCGAACTGTGTCACTGCAACTCCAGGGCTGTGCCACTGGAACACCTGAACTGTGCGCCTGCAGCGCCGGGGCTGTGCCCTGATGTGCAGTAGGGGTGGAGGGGGGTGGCTGCGATGCCCAGTGTTGGGGGGCCATCAGTGGGGACTGGAAACCAGGTGGAAAATGAAGGGGGAGGGCTGAGCAGCGCTACGAGAGCCCCGAGGCCGCCCCGGGTCCAAGGCTGCGGGGGGGGGGGAGGGGGAAATGGGGAGGGGCCATGGCTCTCCTGGGTGCACCTGGCGCACTGTTCTGAAGGTCAGTTTGGGACAAACTTCGGGGAGGGTCCGGGGTGGGTCTGGGTTTGTTGTTCTCTGTTATGGTAACGACACAGACCCCCTCCAGGATCGGGCCCCCTGTGCCGGGCACAGCCCAGAACCTCACCAGGATCGGGCCCCCCTTGCCAGACGCTGCCCAGCTCCTGATGTCGCTCTCTGTTTGTGTGTTACAGAATCCGGACAATCAGACAGTTCAAACCAGCAAGGAGATGTGGACATCAAACCACTGCCCAACGGTGAGAGGTCCCCCCAGCTCCCCATGGTGCCCCCCAGCCCCCCATCAAACCACTGCCCAACGGTGAGAGACCCTCCCAGCCCCCCATAGTGCCCCCCATCAAACCACTGCCCAACGGTGAGAGACCCCCCCAGCCCCCCATGGTGCCCCCCAGCCCCCCATCAAACCACTGCCCAACGGTGAGAGACCCTCCCAGCCCCCCATGGTCCCCCCCAGCCTCCCATCAAACCACTGCCCAATGGTGAGAGACCCCCCTGAGCCCCCCATGAGCCCCCACAGCCACCCCACAACCTCCCATAGCCCCCCACAGTCTCCCCATAGTCCCCCCAAAGCCTCCATCTCCCCATCCCCCCATCAAACCACTGCCCAAGGGTGAGAAACCCCCACAGCCCCCCATGAGCCCCCATAGCCCGCCACAGCCCTCATCTTCCCATCCCCCTATCAGACCACTGCCCAACGGTGAGAGACCCTCCCAGCCCCCCATGGTGCCCCCCAGCCCCCCATCAAACCACTGCCCACTGGTGAGAGCCCCTCACAGCCCTCTGTCTATCCCCCCTATTCCCTCTCCCAAGATCGAAAAGCATCCGCAGAGCTGTGGGGAGTCCAGGGCTTGGCTAACAGGGGCTGCGGGTCGGGAGTGAGGGGCCCCGGTAGAGCTGGGGGGGCAAGTCTGGGCTAGCAGGGGCTGCAGCTCGGGAGTGAGGGGCACCAGCTGAGTCCATCACCTTGCTCCGTGCCCCGATTGCTGCCCCGCTGACGCCCGTCTCCTCCCTCCCTTCAGGGCATTTGACTTTCCAGGACTGTTTTGTGACGTCGGGCGTCTGGAACGTGACAGAGCTGGTCCGAGTCTCCCAGAGTGAGTGGCGGGCCCGGGGGGCGGGGGAGCTGCCATAGATTCCCCCCGGGGTTCCTTTCTCCTCCTTGTCCGTCTCCAGGGGGTTGGCTAGAGAGGCTGGCATGGGTTGCCCATGATGGGTGCCCAGCTGGCACAGGACGCCCATGGCAGGGTTTGGGGACGCTGGCCAGCTCGGCTGGAGAATCATGCTCTGCTCCCTGTCTCCGTCTCGCTCCTTCAATCTATTTCCCCCTTGCCCTGCGCCCCCCAATCTCATTCAGCTCCCCCTGGGGAAGTGGATCCTAGGGGGGTTGGGAACGGCCGTGACACGGGAGCCCCCTGCACGTCCACAGGCTGGCTCAGGAGCTATGCCAATGGCTGCTGGGGGGTAGGGGAGGCAGGCACTGCAGAAGAGCAGGCTCACGTGCCCCGTGGCCAAGCAGAAGCTGGGCTCCGTCTCTATCCCCTCTGCCCGACCTGGGGACTGAGGAAAAGCTGAGCCTGTCGCCCCAGGCCAGGTGAAGGCCTAGGCCCAGGAGAGTCGCAGCTCTCCTGGGACAGGGAAAAGTTTCCAACCCCTGCGGTTGGGGAGAAAAGCTCGAAAACGGGACCTGAGCGTGACCCACACTGCCTGAGCCTGCAGAGAGCCTGAGCCCATCACACTGAGGGGGCGGGGCTACGGGGCGGGGGCGGGCTTATGGGTAGGCCTTGAATTGCCTTAGCTGGGCCCTGAGTGTCCTGTGATTGCTTTGCCTGCAGTGTCGCTGTGCCCAGCAGGTGGTCTGTACAGGGCATAGTTCCCCTGCAGCCAGCTGCGGGGCGGAGGCCTGTGTGCCCGGTGCCCTGCGCTGCCCCTCACCCGCTGTCTCTCCTCCCGCAGCTCCCGTGGCCACGGCATCAGGTCCCAACTTCTCCCTGGCAGATCTGGAGAGCCCCAGTTACTACAACATCAACCAGGTGACTCTGGGCCGGCGGTCCATAACGTCACCTCCTTCCACCAGGTACGCGCCATCCTGCCCAGGGGAGACCCCGCCCCTGTGCTGCCCGGCCTGGGGGGCTCTCTCCCCTCTGCTCCATCCGCCCTCGGCCTCTCCCCCCGACAAACTCGCTTTGCACACAGGCTGCTGACCCGCTCTGTCGTCAGACGGGCACCACTCCCAGCCCACCCTGGGGCTGATGCCCCCTAGAGGGAACAGGCCCCATGTCCCACTCCCCACCCGCTGAGCCAGCCCATCCTCGCCCTGCGACTGCATCAGGGCCGGCAACCCTAGAGGGGAAAGTCCCGTGCCCTGTTCCCCCCCCCCGCGCCTGTCACCCTGCCCTGGGGCCAATCAGGGCCGGCACCCCTCGAGGGGAAAGGCCCTGAGCCCCACCCCACCCGCCTGTCACCCCACCCAACGTCTCCCCCTCGCTACCCCCCCTAGCTCCACCAAGCGCCCCAAGTCGCTGGATGACAGCGAGATGGAGAGTCCCGTGGACGAGGTCTTCTACCCCGGGACGGGGCGCTCGCCCGCCGCCGGCAGCAGCCAGTCCAGCGGCTGGCCCAACGATGTGGACGCAGGTACGGGGGTGGGGGGCGCAGATCGGGGCAGGGACCTGGTATGTGGCCTCCTGGGGCGGTGCCCAGAGTGAGGGGGTTGGGGCCCCCCCAGATTTCCTGCCCCCCCGTGTCTCCGTGCGGGGCCCTGGGAGGCCATGGGGCATGGCTGCACTCTGGCCTTTGCAGGGAAGAGCTGGGCCGGGCGGCGTGCAGCTGCGCCATGGCAGGATGTGGGGCTGGGGGCTGTGCTGTGGGGAGGCCAGGAGCTGGTTGGTCCAAGTCACAGAAGCATCAGAGTCATTCGGCATCTAGGGGCTGCGGGTTGGGAGAGAGGGGCACCGGGAGAGTGCGGGGTGGCAGGCCTGGGCTAGCAGGGGCTGTGGGTCGGGAGTGAGGGGCACCGGCAGAGTGGGGTGCAGGGCAGACCTGGGGGAGCCGGGGGCCAGAGCATCTTGGCTACTGTAAAGAATTAGCTGGCGAACCCCCAGAGTGTCACCCTGGCACGGCCCTTCATTCGGGGGCAGGGGGCAGTGAGTGGTGAGGCTGTCTGGGAGCTGCTGTCTGTCCATCTCTGTCTGTCCGTCTATCTCTCTCCATTCACCCCACTCTGTCTCTGAACAATTCACTGTTCTGTATGAACAACGAAAACTCCTCTCTAAGGGAGGGAAGTGGGGTCTAGTGGTTAGCTCAGGGGCTGGGAGCCAGGACTCCTGGGTTCTATCCTAGCTCTGGGAGGGAAGTGGGGTCTAGTGGTTAATGCAGGGACTGGGAGCCAGGATGTCCCGGAGTCCCCGGGCGATGCTCTGGATCTGCTCCCTACGAAGCCAGTCAGGCCTCTGGTGAGATCTCCTCTATGGGAGCAGCCTGTCTTCAGAGCAAGAAGCTCACACGGCTTCCACCTTCCTGGGTCTGACCTTGGAGCATTCAGCATCCTCTGCTCCTCCATGCGCTTCCCACAACGAGTCTGCCCAGGCGGGGTCCTGGGGAAGCCAGAGGGTCCTGCCCCCCAACTCCGCGGTCAGGCGTGACTCTCAGCCAGCCAGTAAAACAGAAGGTTTATTAGGCAACAGGAACACGGTCTAACACAGAGCTTGTAGGTACAGAGAACAGGACCCCTCAGCCGGGTCCATGTTGTGGGGCAGTGAGCCAGACAACCACATCCGCACTTCACTCCATGTCCCAGCCAGCCCCAAACTGAAACTCCCTCCAGCCCCTCCTCCTCTGGGCTTTGTCCCTTTCCGGGGCCAGGAGGTCACCAGATTCCTTTGTTCTCCAACCCTTTAGCTCTCACCTTGCAGGGGGGAAGGGCCCAGGCCATCAGTTGCCAGGAGACAGAGTAAAAAGAAAAGGAGTACTTGTGGCACTTTAGAGACTAACCAATTTATTTGAGCATGAGCTTTCGTGAGCTACAGCTCACTTCATCAGATGTTTACCGTGGAAACTGCAGCAGACTTTATATACACACAGAGAATATGAAACAATACCTCCTCCCACCCCACTGTCCTGCTGGTAATAGCTTATCTAAAGTGATCAACCGGTGGGCCATTTCCAGCACAAATCCAGGTTTTCTCACCCTCCACCCCCCCACACAAATTCACTCTCCTGCTGGTGCTAGCCCATCCAAAGTGACAACTCTTTACATAATCAAGTCGGGCTATTTCCTGCATAGATCCAGGTTTTCTCACATCCCCCCCACCCCCATACACACACAAACTCACTCTCCTGCTGGTAATAGCTCATCTAAACTGACCACTCTCCAAGTTTAAATCCAAGTTAAACCAGAACATCTGGGGAGGGGGGGGTAGGAAAAAACAAGAGGAAACAGGCTACCTTGCATAATGACTTAGCCACTCCCAGTCTCTATTTAAGCCTAAATTAATAGTATCCAATTTGCAAATGAATTCCAATTCAGCAGTTTCTCGCTGGAGTCTGGATTTGAAGTTTTTTTGTTTTAAGATAGCGACCTTCATGTCTGTGATTGCGTGACCAGAGAGATTGAAGTGTTCTCCGACTGGTTTATGAATGTTATAATTCTTGACATCTGATTTGTGTCCATTTATTCTTTTACGTAGAGACTGTCCAGTTTGACCAATGTACATGGCAGAGGGGCATTGCTGGCACATGATGGCATATATCACATTGGTGGATGTGCAGGTGAACGAGCCTCTGATAGTGTGGCTGATGTTATTAGGCCCTGTGATGGTGTCCCCTGAATAGATATGTGGGCACAATTGGCAACGGGCTTTGTTGCAAGGATAAGTTCCTGGGTTAGTGGTTCTGTTGTGTGGTATGTGGTTGTTGGTGAGTATTTGCTTCAGGTTGCGGGGCTGTCTGTAGGCAAGGACTGGCCTGTCTCCCAAGATTTGTGAGAGTGTTGGGTCATCCTTTAGGATAGGTTGTAGATCCTTAATAATGCGTTGGAGGGGTTTTAGTTGGGGGCTGAAGGTGACGGCTAGTGGCGTTCTGTTATTTTCTTTGTTAGGCCTGTCCTGTAGTAGGTAACTTCTGGGAACTCTTCTGGCTCTATCAATCTGTTTCTTTACTTCTGCAGGTGGGTATTGTAGTTGTAAGAAAGCTTGACAGAGATCTTGTAGGTGTTTGTCTCTGTCTGAGGGGTTGGAGCAAATGCGGTTGTATCGCAGAGCTTGGCTGTAGACGATGGATCGTGTGGTGTGGTCAGGGTGAAAGCTGGAGGCATGCAGGTAGGAATAGCGGTCAGTAGGTTTCCGGTATAGGGTGGTGTTTATGTGGCCATTGTTTATTAGCACTGTAGTGTCCAGGAAGTGGATCTCTTGTGTGGACTGGACCAGGCTGAGGTTGGTGGTGGGATGGAAATTGTTGAAATCATGGTGGAATTCCTCAAGGGCTTCTTTTCCATGGGTCCAGATGATGAAGATGTCATCAATATAGCGCAAGTAGAGTAGGGGCTTTAGGGGACGAGAGCTGAGGAAGCGTTGTTCTAAATCAGCCATAAAAATGTTGGCATACTGTGGGGCCATGCCGGTACCCATAGCAGTGCCGCTGATCTGAAGGTATACATTGTCCCCAAATGTGAAATAGTTATGGGTAAGGACAAAGTCACAAAGTTCAGCCACCAGGTTAGCCGTGACATTATCGGGGATAGTGTTCTTGACGGCTTGTAGTCCATCTTTGTGTGGAATGTTGGTGTAGAGGGCTTCTACATCCATAGTAGCCAGGATGGTGTTATCAGGAAGATCGCCGATGGATTGAAGTTTCCTCAGGAAGTCAGTGGTGTCTCGAAGGTAGCTGGGAGTGCTGGTAGCGTAGGGCCTGAGGAGGGAGTCTACATAGCCAGACAATCCTGCTGTCAGGGTGCCAATGCCTGAGATGATGGGGCGCCCAGGATTTCCAGGTTTATGGATCTTGGGTAGTAGATAGAATATCCCAGGTCGGGGTTCCAGGGGTGTGTATGTACCCTGGCCCTTTGCTCTGCACCAATTACTCCCCCTTATCCCACCACCTAGAGACTTAAGAAATGCCTAGGGGAAACTGAGGCATCCCTACAGTATTCAGAGGAAACATTAAGAACAGTCCCACTTTGTCACACAGGACTCCTGGGTTCTAGCCTAGCTCTGGGAGGGAAGTGGGGTCTAGTGGTTAGCGCAGGGGGCTGGGAGCCGGGACCTGTTGGCTCTTTTCCCAGCTCTGAGACCTTGGTGAGCCTCTTCCCCTGTCTGTGTGAACTGGGCATTGTTATTCTGATTTCCATTCTGTCCATGCTAGAGTCTCTGATCAGCACTGTGTCTGACAGGCGTCATTCTGGGCACTGGGAGCCCCTCCATGATAACCCCCAAGTCCTGCCAGTTCTCCAGGTGCCCCCCACACTGGGAGCTGCAGACACACAGCACGCAGCAGACAGATCAGATGGGGAAACTGAGGCATAGGCAGGCAGCGAGTCTGAGTGCCAGGATCCAAATCCAGATCTCTTGGGCCCCAGCCGTGTGGGGGTGGGGACTGGCACCTGATAACATGGGGGCAGGGGGCAGCGCATATGCCATCCCGGCAGAGGGCAAAGTCTTGGTCTGTAATCCCATCAGGCCAGCGGCCCCTGCTGGGCCTGCAGGTTATTACCCTGGATGCTGCCCACCCAGGAGGTCAGGGTGCTGCTCGCGAGGCATCACCCCCTCCAGCTCACACTCACAAAGGAGAGACGCTTGCCAGCATGGGCACCATGCCAGCCGCAGCATGGGCAAAGGGGGCGGGGTCTGGCACTGTCAATGGGGTGAGTGCTGGGGGTGCTGGGACCAGGCATCATGGGAGGCAGTTTGCGGAGCAGAAGGAGGGTTGAGGGGCCCTGAGAGCAACCCAGTGCGGCACCGGCAGCTGCCCCCAACCTGCAGCTGGCACAGGGCGTAATGGCACCAAACCCAGGAACAAGATTGCACTGGGCCATCACAGAGATGGGGGCTCCCCCCACAGCTCCGCCAGTGCCCCTCACTCCTGACCCACAGCCACCGGCTAGCCCAGCCTTGGGCTCCCCCGGCCCAGCTCATAAACCACACTGTGCCCCATGGCCCATTTGACACAGTGCCCCGGAGGCTGCAGGTAGGGCCTGATAGCAAGAGTGAGAAATCAGGCGGCGGGGGTGTGTAAGAGGCACTGGTACAAGACAAAGCCCCAAATCTCGGGATGTCCCTATAAAACTGGGACCTCTAGTCCCTCTAGGTGCAGCCAACGCCGGGGCCTGTGCCCACCCCGGCAGGTGGTCATGGGGATCTCCCTCCCACACCAGCCAGCCGCGTGAGGATGGGGATCGTGCGGCGTGTCCCGTCCGTCCGTTCCCCCCCCCGCCACGTCGGGTTTGTCCCTGACAAATGGCCCGTTCGGCTGCACAGGCAGGGCCTGGCAGCCGTCTGACCGGGACAGGTGTTTGCAGCTGGCAGCTCCTCCGAGATCAGGGGCCAGGCAGCTGGCATGAGAAGGCAGGCTCCCCATGGGGCCGCTCGCGCTCTCCGGGCCCCGGAGGCCCCCTTGGACGGGACGAGAGGAGCAGGAACCAGCTGAGCCCAAGGCGCAAGAGAAGGGCAGGGAGCTGTGCCCAGGCACACTCCACTGGCTGGCATAAGAGCGCCTGCACGTCCACGTCAGCCCTTGGCAGCCCCGGCCTCCGACTCCTCCGGGCGTCCCTGGATGGGGGACAGCTTCAGGGAGAACCTCCCAGCCCACCCCAGCGTCTCCCCCATCCCAGACCCCCCGCTGCCAGCGGCCCTGTGCTCACTGCCGGCTTGGGATGGGCTGGATCCCGCGCCCCCTAGAAGGGAAAGGCCCCAGGTCCCATTTCCATGCCCCAAGCCAGCCAGTCCCCTGCCGGTGAGGCCAGATCAGACCTGCCGCCCCCTAGAGGGGAAGGGCCCCAAGTCCCGTTCCCTGACCACCATTCCCCCCTCAGCCAGGTTGTCCTCTTGTCATTTGCACTCAGCACAGTGGAATGCAGCCACCTCTGGGTTGGGGTGCGGGGGCTGTTTGTGCGGGGATCCCTCACCCCAGGCTGAGATGCAGCCACCTCTGGGGTGGGCACGAGGGCCTATGACGCTGTGGCACGCAGTGGGGTGTTGGGGAGGACATGGCCTGTGTCTTCTGCCTACTCCTCCCCCCACCCAGCCCCAGTGCTCCTGGCCCTGGTGGGGTGTCTTCCTCTGTCTTGGGGCTGGGGGTGTCGGGGACCTCCTGATCCTCCCCCCAGCCCCACTGTGGTCAGAGAGACCCCGGGTCAAAGCCCTGGGCCCTGTCTGCTCAGGCCTCCTGCCAGCAGCACCCCACTACCTGGAGGTTTGCGGGGGGCCATTTGGGGGACCCCTTCAGTGCTGAGCCCTGAGATTGGTGGGAGCTGCCATGCTCAGCTCCTCTGCAAATCCGGCCTCAGGGGTCTGGCGCGTGGACCCCCTCCAAATGGAGACACCCCAAAGCCTGGAGAGGTGGGACATGCCGATCTGGCGAGGGAAGATGGGTGGCAGCGGGGGTGGGAGGGGGATTTGGGCGCCAGGACTGGCCCGGGCCTGGGGGATCCAAGCAGCGACACCTGGTCAGTGTCATTACTCGCCGGGCTTGGGGCTCTCTGTAAATCTCCAGCTGCTGGAGTCACGTGAATGCGGGAAATTGCGGCTGAAAGACATGAACATCAGAGTCCGGTCTGGCAGGCAGAGGCCTGAGGCTCAGATCCCAGGAGGCAAATCAGAGCGACGTGGATCCAGGCTTCCAAACAACGCACGGGTCTTTGTAGCCAAGGGGGGCCCTGAAAGCCGATGGCTGGATTGCCGTGGCCTGGCTGTGGCGTGGGGACGCCCAGGGCTAGGGAGACACTGGAGTTAGCCTGCAAAATCCAGGCCCCCGGTGGGGCCTTACGGGCAGGGATATGCAGGGCAGCCAAGGGCAGGGCAGCAGGGGGCAGGGCAGGGATGCCAGGGCAGCAGGGGGCAGGGCAGCGGCTGGGGGCACAGGTCAAGCAGGGGTGACTCAAGCAGATACTAATCCATCTTTCCGCCTGTTAAACCTGCCCTCTCTCGCTGATTCCTTGCCAGGACCGGCTTCCCTAAAGAAGTCAGGGAAGCTGGATTTCTGCAGCGCCCTCTCCACCCACACCACCTCCCCAAGAATGGCTTTCAGCCACCACCCGCTGCCGGTCCTTGCAGGAGTCAGACCAGGTGAGAACCAAAGCCGCTATCCTGGGGGTGGGAGGGCGGGGACCCTGTCCCTCCAAGCCACGGTGGTTCTGGCAGCCGGTCTCTCTCGCTTTTCCTCTCTCTGTCTCTGTCTTTCCTCTGTCGAGGCAGCTAAAGGGTTGAAGATGCTGGGGAAAGGGCAGCTTTTATGCTGCATTAAGCAATCATCGCCTGAGTAGGGTTTATTAGAGTGACTCCAGAGTGACTCCAGAATAGCTGGGATCTTGGTGGAGTTAATCCAGAGTGATTCCAGAATAGCCAGGATTTAGACAGATCTGGATTAGCTGGGATTTTGGTGCAGTGACTCTGGCGTTGCTGGGCTCGGGAGCTGGCCTGCTGCATGTAACCGGGGGGTCCCTTTCTCTCCTGGAGCTGTGGTTACTGGTCCCAAAGCACCCGCAGGCTGGGAACCCTGGGTCCCACTATTGGACTGTCCCATGCTAGCACCATACGGGGCAGGGAGCTGCCAGCAAATGGGGGATGTGAGCCCTGGCCCCAGCAGCCCATTCCCCACGGGACAGGTCTCCTACCACCCTCCTTGGGGGAACCGGTCCACCACCTGGCACTTCTCAGGGTTAGGAAATGCTTCCTTTGGATTGGGAGTGAGGGGCACCGGCAGGGCTGGGGGGAGCCCAGGGCTGGGCTAGCAGGGGGCTGCGGGTCAGGAGTGAGGGGCGCCGGCAGAGCTGTGGCAGGTGTGGTTCACTCAAACCGTTTCCGGCGGCCCAGCCCTTCCTGTGGGTTTGCTCGGGGCTTCCTCAGCCTGTGCCGGTGGGACGTCTGCGCAGCTCCTGGGGGGCTCACGCAGGCGCCGGGGTCATTGGGCCTCTCTGGGGGCAGTGGGGGTGTGACTGGGGTGGGGGGCCATGAAGGGGCAGGGCGTGTTGGGGTGTGTGTGTGACCGATGGGGGGGGTATGAAGGGGCAGTGGGTGATGGGGGGGTGACCGGGGTGGGGAGGCCCTGAAGGGGCAGGAAGTGATTGGGGGGGTGGGGATGTGACTGGTGGGGGGGTATGAAGGGGCAGTGGTGTGACTGGGGGGCAGTGGTGGCAGGAGGGTGACTTGAGGGATTGGAGGTGACGGCGGTGGTGGGGGGTGACTGGAGGGGTCAGAGGGGGTAGTGCTGTCTGGGGGGCGTTTCACTCGAAGGGCCAACTACGACTTGGCCTCTAGGACTTGGCCCCCCCACGCACCCGGCTGATGGTCCCCCAAAGGAGGAAGCTGCAGCCCTGCCCCCCAGTGCCGCACCCCCTGCCAGTTCCCCGAGCCCTATAGCGGCAACTGTGCCCAGATAGCACCTGCGGGCTGGTCTGTTGCCCGGGTGGGGCCCACTGGCTGGTTCGTCAGGGCCAGTGCCCGGGTGGGGCCCACTGGCTGGTCCGGCACCCGAGTGGCACCTGCTGGCTGGTCCCTTGGGGCTGGTGTCCGGGTGGCACCCGCTGGCTGGTCCGGCGGGGCACCCAGGGCCCCAGCTCTCGGGGAGTGTCTCGGAGAGGAGCCGCGGAATGACGCCCCTGGCCCTGCCTTCTGGTGGGACGGTAAAAGGGGAGAGAGACCAGGATGTGGGGCTCAGCCCCATAATGGCCCTGCCGCCAGGCGTGTGGTCCTTGAAGCTCGGAGGGCCCAGTGAGTGGGCGAGGGGGGGTAGGGAGTGAGAGGACAGGGCCTGAACGGCTCAGGGGGCAGGGAGGGGGCCCACAGCAGCTGTTAGCAGCAGATCCCTGACCTCCCTGCCCCACTTTCTCTCTCCCCGTCCCAGGAAGCCCCCGGGCAACAGCCTCGGCCCTGCACTTCCCGTCGACCTCCATCATCCAGCAGTCCAGCCCCTACTTCACCCACCCGACCATCCGCTACCACCACCACCACGGCCAGGACTCGCTCAAGGAGTTCGTGCAGTTCGTCTGCTCCGATGGGTCGGGCCAGGGCACCGGGCAGGTGAGCGCCGCCAGCCACGCCCCTCCGGATGCCGCCCCCTGGGGGGCGCTGGCCAGCGAACAAGGCCCCCCCACGGCTCTCCTCTTCTCTCCTCTCTCTCTCTCTCTCTCTCTGTCTCTGGGGGGCACGGGACAGGCAGTGTGATCCCGGTCGGGGGGCTGAGTGTAGCACAGGGGCCTGACGCGCCCTCCAAGGGGCCAGGGGACTGGGACGCGCTAGCCTGCAGTATGTAGAAGGTTCTGGAAACCAAAGGCGTAGTGGGGTTCCGGCAGCCTAGAACCGGCGTCACTCTGGAACGTGAGGAGTTCTAGAAGACAACATGCTGGGGGGGGCGGGGCCTCTCAGGGCAGGTTCTGGGGGCGGGGCCTCTCAGGGCAGGTTCGGGGGCGGGGCCTCTCAGCATTGTGGAGTTCTAGGAAGTGGGGCCTCAGCATCGCAGTGTCCTAAGGGGCATGGCTCCTCAGAGCAGGTCCTAGGGGCGGGGCCTCAGAGCAGGTCCGAGGGGCGGGGCCTCAGAGGAGGTGATGGGGATGTGGCCTCTCATAGCAGGTCCTGGGGGTGGGGCCCCTCAGAGCAGGTCCTGGGGCCGGGGCCTCAGCAGCGCGGCGTCCGTCACGGGCGACTTTCTCCACCCAAAGCCAGACTGCTCGAGTGATACGTTGCCGTGGAGACTGCGCCTCAGGCCAGCTCCTGCGGGATGGGGGAGCTGTGCTGGGCTCGGCCCCAGGGGTCCCCCAGGAGCACGGGACGGGGGCACTCAGTGATCCGTGCCGAGGACACAATTAGCTCCGCCCTCCGAGGGTGGCTGGTGCCACTCGGGGTGCCTCCGTGACGCCCAGTCTCGGCCCACGAACTCCTGCCACCGGAGACCATCTGCAGCCATTGCCCGGGCACTGGCCGCGGGGGGCTCTGAAGCCCCGGAGCGTCGTGCCTAGAGGAAACGTCCTGCCACTGATCGCCACTATGGACAGTCGGCTCACGCCACGGCCTGCTCACAGCCCCAGCCCCGCGCCGGGGCGGCACCGGGGTTGGGAGGGCCGCTCCCATCAAAGTGGCTGACGTTAAATATCTGGAGCCCAGCACAGAGACAGCCGTGCGTCACGTCCCCGGGAAGAAACCAGGGCAGGACGCCAGGCGGAGAGGACACGTCTGCAGCACCCTGCTCCTTGGCTCTCTCCTGCTGGTCCTGCTCAGAGCCAGCCTTCGCAGATCACGCTCCTCTCCCTGCCTCCCCCTCCGTCCCTCTCCCGGGCGTGCCCGGCACCGTCCCCTGGCCTCCACCGCAGACCTGTCCTTTCCAGCCTGGAGCCCCCGAAGACAGAGGGATGGGACGGCCGGTTCACACCAGGTGGCACTTCCCCAGGTTCTGCATGGAGAGGAGATGCCATTGCCCACGGCCGGCGAGCAAACAACCAGGCACAGCGACAGCCCGGCCGTGGCTCCAGCCCACGGAGATCTGGTGGGGGGCAGCAGGTCGAGGGCGCCAAGGGGGCAGCGGGCAGGGCCTAGCCAGGGCGTGGGGGGACGGGCCAGCGACGGACGGACAGACACACACTTCCCACCCTTCGCTTTTTTAAAAACAAGTCCATTTTTTTTGGTAAAAAACGGATTCTTTGGAGGAAAAGCACCCCAATAAAACACCGGAACAAAGCAAGCCCCAGCGCCCCGTCCCGGCGCCGCCGGCCGGTACTGCATCTTTACCGTTGCCTTGTCTCGGCTCGCCGTTCACGCATCCTTGTATTTATGTTGTTCGCAGCCTAACGCTAGCGGCCAGGGCAAAGTCACGGGCTCATTTTTGCTGCCGCCGCCCCCACCTGTGGCCAGACCTGTGCCCCTTCCAATGCCTGACACAAAATCCACCAGCACTAACCCAGAGGGCGGAGCGCCGACACCTACATCACCCTGTAAGTGGACGCCCAACAGCGACAACACAACCCCCCAGGCAAACCCACCCCCAGCCTGGTCCTCACACACGGAGCCACCAGCCAGGCCGCCGGGCAGAGGGGGGGCAGGGGAAGGGGGGAGAAGGGACAGCTGAAGGGGAGGGTAAAGTTTAGATACATGGGGGTAAGGATGTGTCTGGGGATGGGGATGGATGGATGGATGGATGGATGGGGATTTGTGTATGGAGATGGATGGATGGATGGGGGTATGTGGTAGAGGGATGGGAAGGTGGGTAAATAAGGGGTAGGAGGGGTAGCTGGAGGGCAGGCAGGGGGTAAACAAGGGGTAGGTAGGGGGTAGCCAGAGGGCAGGCAGAGGGTAGGTAGGGGGTAGGCATTGGGTAGCCAGAGAGTAGGAAAGGGGTACATAGAGGGTAGGTAGGGGGTAGCTGGAGGGCGGGTAGGGGATAGTTAGGGGTTTGGTGGGGGTAGCCGGAGGATGGGCGGGGAGTAGGTAGGGGGTAGCTGGAGGGCAGGCAGAGGGTACATAGGGGGTACATAGGAGGTAGGTAGGGGTGTGGTAGGGGGTAGCCGGAGGGCAGGCAGGGAGAGGTAGGGGGTAGCGGAGGGCAGGTAGGGGTTTGGTAGGGGGTAGCTGGAGGGCGGGCAGGGGGTAGTTAGGGGTTTGGTAGGGGGTAGCCAGAGATCAGGCAGGGGGCATATAGGAGCAGGTAGGGGGTAGCCGGAAGGCAGGCGGGGGGCACACAGGGGGTAGGTAGGGGTAGCCGGCTGCCAGCGGGCCCGAGTGGGGCAGGGCTTCATGCCATCATCGAGTGTTGTGCGTTCTCGTTTGCCAGCCCTCACCCGCCGCCATCCATCCCACCCGCGCTAAGATGCAGTAGCCGCCGGCTTGGCCGCCTTTGGGGTTCTTTGTTTTGTTCTGTTCTATTATTATTTTGTCGGTTGCCGTGGCAACTCTCGGGGGCGGGGCTAAACAAAAGGCAAGAAAAATACCCATTAAAATACACCCCCCCCAGGACTGGCAGTGCCCAGGAGTTTGTGTGGGGAGAAAGGGGAATGGGGCACCAGGGGTCAGGGGTCAGTGGGTGTCGACCATATCCCCTCCCAGTTCAGCTCCGTAGCAGGCTCTCTTCGCCAGGACTCCTGGGTCCAATCCCCCACCTGGGGAGGAAGGGGCTGGAGTCTAGTGGTTAGAGCAGGAGTGGGGCCTAGGAGCCAGGACTCCTGGGTCCTCTTGGAGGAGAGTGGGGTCTAGTGGCTAGAGCAGGGGGTGGGGCTGGGAGCCAGGACTCCTGGGTTCTGTTCCCAGGGCTCCGTGGGCTCTCCTGGGCAGCACTAAGTGTGTGTATGGGGGGGGCAACACTAGGTGTGTGTACTGGGGGGCATCTCTTCCATTTTCCTTTGTCTTTCTTTCTTTCCTTCTTTCTTTCTTTTTTGAACTCTTTCCATCTGTCCCCATGACATCCCCTCCCGTTTGCATTCTCCATTCAGTCCAGCCGGGGGGGTCGTGGGGGGTGGGCGGGGGGTCTCTGGTGCGTGCCCGCTGCGGCTGCGCCCACTCCTGCCAGGCGGGCGGGCGGAGGACAGGTAAGGAAGAATCCACAGCTTTTTGGGGGTTCGGGGAGGGATTTGTGCTGCCCCAGATGCTGCCCCTTGCTGGCCAGGATCTGTCCCGCTCCTCTTTGGGAGGAGGGAAGGTGCCTCTGTCCCCCCCTACCCTGCCGCTGGCAGCCCAGCTGGGGAGTGGGAGCCTCCAGAGGCTGATGGGGCCGGCAAGGGGCTGCTGGCGGCCCGGCCGCCCATCCTGTCTGGGCAGCTTTGCCTGCACATCAGCGGCCATAGGGCTGCAGGGGGGAAGTGGCTGGCAATGGGGGGCAAGTGACCCCAGCTGGCTGCAGTTTCCGGCAGCCAGGGATGCAGCACCAGGTCCCAGCTGCGGTCTCTGCGCTGTGCCCAGGAACGGCCGGCGTGGCGGGTACGTGGGGCCCGGCCTGGCGGGTAGGTGGGGCCCGGCCTGGCGGATAGGTGGGGCCCAGCCTGGCGGGTACGTGGGGCCCGGCCTGGAGGCCCCGGGGGATGTGCCATGCTGTGATTTCCCCCTGCCCCCAGCTGCTGCCCCTGCCAGCATCCCCAGGTTCCAGCCCCCCTGTGCCCAGTGACGCCCCCGCAGCCCCGAATGCCAGAGGCCTGAGCTCAGTTATTTCTGGCAGGGACGCAAGGCCCAGGGGAGGGCACCGATCGCCGCCCATGGGGCAGGGCCCTGCCAGCCCCATACACGGGCATCTGCTGGGCCGGAGCGCCCCGGGGGAGGGCGACTGAGGCCTGGGGCAGCTGCTCTGCATGTGGCCCTGCCCCCACGGCGGGAAGCTAAACTGGGACACAGCACGGGGGGCAAACTAACCCCATCCTCCCCCCACGCCCCCGAGAGGGCAATGGTTCGTCCTCCCTCAACACACACAGCTCTGCCGGTGTCCCTAACTCCCGACCTGCAGCCCCTGCTAGGCCACCCCCCCACCCCCCCAAGTGCTGTCGGTGCACCTCAGTCCCGACCCACAGCCCTGATATTGACCCATCTCCTGAGGGATCATGAAGGTCACTTGCTCTTGGGGGGAGCTTGAGGTGGGTGGAGAATTATTTTGGGGGTGTTGGAACTGGAGCAGCCCCCTTCAAACACCCCCCAGTTCCCCCACTTCTCTATGGATCCCTCTGCCCAATGCTCTGTATGGGGCAAGGGGGCAGATCTCAGCCCTGCCAGGGGTGTGGCTGCCCCACATCATGCTCTCCATGTTCACTGCCCCCATCCCAGTGATGGCCACAGCCCCCAATGCCCTCCCCCAAGCCCCCTAACACCCTCCCCCCCAGCTCCCTAACACCTTCCCCTGCTCCTAATGCCCTCTCCCTTCCCCCCGACCTCAATGCTTTCACCCGCAGCCCCCAACACCCTCCCCCCACCCCTAACACCTTCCCCTTGCTCGTAATGCCCTGCCCCTTCCCCCCGACCCCAATGCCCTCCCTGCCAGCCCCCAACACCCTACCCCACCCCTAACACCCTCCCCCCAGCTCCCTAACACCTTCCCCTGCTCCTAATGCCCTCTTCTTTTCCCCCGACCCCAATGCCCTCCCCCGCAGCCCCCAACACCCTCCCCCCACCCCTATCACCTTCCCCTTGCTCCTAATGCCCTGCCCCTTCCCCCAGACCCCAATGCCCTCTCTGCCAGCCCCCTAATACCCTCCCCAACCCCTAAAGCCCTCCCCCTCCCTCAGACCTCAATGCCCTCCCCCCAACACCCTCCCCCTGCCCCTAACGCCCTCCCCTCCCTCCAGACTCCAGTGTCCTCCCCCCTCCAGCCCCTGCCTCCTAACGGTCTCTCCTGCAGTCCCCAATACTCTCCACCGAGCCCCCTCTCACCCTCCCCCCAGCCCCCTCTCGCCCTTCCCCCAGCCCCCTCATGCCCTCTGCCTCTCTCCCCTCCAGCATTCGCAGCGCCAGGCTCCTCCGCTGCCAACCGGTTTGTCGGCATCGGACCCCGGGACGGCAACTTTCTAAACATCCCCCAGCAGTCTCAGGTAGGAGAGGGCGACTCTGGGGGGGGGAGGGGGTTCCCAACCGGGGGCTCCTGTCTGCAGGGCGGGGGGCATTGGCCGTGCCCACATCGCCATGGCAGCCACCCCAAAACCTGGAGTGGTCAGAGCAGGGGGCTGGGAGCCAGGGCCCCTGGGTTCTACTCACTGTGCCACATGGCTGCAGGTGACCCTTTCCCCATGGAGGGCTCTGGCCCACTGTGGAGTCCCTGAGGCCGTCCTGCCCCCACCGGCCTCTGGCGTGAGCCCTGGAATAAGTGAACTGGACAATTAGCCTGTAAATCCCTGGCTGAGCAGGTGGCCTCAGCCCACGGAGGGGCCCAGCCTCTCTTGGCAAGGCGGGGCTGGGGGGCTCTGGCCTCAAGGGGCTGGGGAAGGGCCTGTGTGTTTTGGGGTCACTTCTGGGTGCTTGTAAAACTGATGGGGTGACTAGAGGCAGATGTTGTGAAATCTGGTGGCTGGCAGGGTCCCCTGCCCCCTCCTATTCTCTTGGTCCTGGTTAAGGCAAGTTGTGGGGTTGGTTAGCAGAATTGCTCTGTGGGGGGGTTATTGAGGGAGCACAGGGGGGTTGGGGGAGCAGGGGGCTGTGTGCCTCCTCCCTGTAATAGGAGGGTGCTGATACCCTGGGCAGGCCCCAGGGACCCCCTGCCGCTCCCTGCATCCCTGGGGCCTGAATTGCTCCAGGAGTGGGGCAGGCGGGGGAAGGGGTGCAATGGACTCCTATGGGTGAGCCCCCCACACCCCAAAAGCTGATTCCTCCCACATTCCTAGGAGTTTCAGAATTGACCCCCACACCCCCACCAGCGACTGTCCCATCCCACCAGGGCAGGAATCCTGGGGCTGCCCCCAACTCCAAAGGGGGGCTGTGGAGCTGTGTGTTAGCACCCCCAGGGGAAAAATGACATGGGGGGGGGAGACAGGGATACAGCCCCTCCCCTCCACTCTCCTCCCCCCTCCAGTGCCCCCCCCCCCGCCCCCCCCGCCAGTCTGCCCTGACTGAGGTTTGGCTGCAGGATCTGGCTCTTTTCCATTCTTCACAAACTTCGTTGAACTTGGGGGGACCAGGGGCTCCGCCCCCATCCCATAACCAGAGTCACGTCTGACCCGTCTGGTTTCCCTGAGCAACCAGACATGATGTCACACCCTGGTGAACTTGGACTTGGGGGCTGGCGAAGGGAAACAAAGGGCTGGGCCAGAGAGGAGGGGGCGGGACGGGGGCGGGGCTCGGCCGGCCTCACGGGCCCTCACCAGCTCCCCGGCCCGGTCCCTGCGTGGGGGGCTGTAGCCCTCACTCCTCGGTCCCTCCGGCCCCCTCCCTTTCCCTCCCTGCCTCTGTGATTTTCTCCTTCCTTCTCTCCCGGGCAGGGGACGCGTGGAGATTTCACGGCCCCTGACTCCGTCGCATGGGGGGGTCTCTTAGCTGAGTGCCCCCGGCCTGAGCCACAGGCTGTCCCTGAACTGGGGAGTCCCTGCTCCGCTGGGGCGGGCGGGGGGGGGGCGTTCTTCCCAGAGTAACTGGTGACTCCACAGCTGGTGGAGGGAGGACAAAACAGGCCGGGATGGCGGGTGGGGGAGGGATTTCCACTCCAGCGTCGGTGGGGTGGGGCAGGGGAAGCTGGCCCTGCTGTCGGGGGCACCCCGGGTGGGGTGTGTGATCCTGGGGGGCAGATCCGCGCGGTCGCCGCGTCCAGGCTGTGGGGGGTACGCTTGGGAGCCGGGCCTCGCCCAACCAGGGGCCGTGGGAGTAGCCACGGGGTCCCACCAGGAGGAGGCATCACCTGGCATGTGGATCTCCCCGTTCAGCTTTGAGCGTCCCCACATGGCTCCCACGAGACTCAGGGCTGGCAGCCCCCATAAGGACCCAGCCCTCCTCTGTGGGGTCAGGGCGGGGCATGGGGGGCAGTCCCACAGGGACTCGGCCCCCCTCACTCCGTGGCCCAGCCCGTGGCATGGGGAAGGAGGGGGCAGCCCTAGATTTATCCCTCTCCTCTGATTGGCCCATGGTGCTGTGGACTGAGTGGCCCATTCCTGAGCAGCTACCTTAGGATTGGCTTAGGGGAGGCACATGTCTCAGGCTCTTACCAATCACAGAGTGGGTGGCCTAAAGATGCTCCTCCCTTGGTTGTGGAGACTGGGCTCTGATGGGGTTATTGGCCCGGTGCCTCCTGATTGGCTGGGAAGGTCAGACATCATTGCGCCTCTTGGCCAATCAGACTTTAGCTTGAGGGTGAACTGTGCCTGCTTGGCTGAGGGTTTGGCTAGTGAGTGATGGGCAGGACTCCTGGGTTCTACCCCGGCTCTGGGAGGGGAGTGGGCTGTAGTGCAGGGGTGGGTAAACTACGGCCCAGGGGCCACGTCTGACCCGTCAGACCTTTTAATCCGGCCCTGGAGCTCCCGTCGGGGAGCGGGGTCAGGCGCTTTCCCTGCTCTGTGCGTGCTGTGGCTCCGCGTGGCTCCCAAAAGCAGAGGCATGTCTCCACTCCAGCTCCTACGCGTAGGGGCAGCCAGGGGTCTCCACACACTGTCCCCTCCCCAAGCACCAGTTCCACCGCTCCTATTGGCCAGGAACTGCGGCCAATGGGAGCTGCAGGGGCGGTGCCTGTGGACCGGGCAGCGTGCAGAGCCGCCTGGCTGCACCTCCACGTAGGAGCTGGAGATGGGACATGCCACTGCTTCCGGGAGCTGCCTGAGGTAAGCGCCACCCGGAGCCTGCACCCCGGACCTCTTCCCGCACCCCATCCCTCTGTCCCAGCCCTGATCCCCCTCCCACTCACAGTCCCAGCCCGGAGCACCCTCCTGCACCCCAAACCCCTCATCCTCAGCCCCACCCCAGAGCCTGCACCCCCAGCCGGAGCCCTCAAAGACCCCCACACCCCAACTTCCTGCCCGAGCCTGGAGCTCCCTGCCCCACACCCCAGCCCCCTGCCTCAACCCGGCGCCTCTCCCATACTCCGAACTCCTCTGCTCCACCCCCAGCCCGCAACCCCCTCCTGCACCCCAACCCCCAATTTCGTGAGCATTCATGGCCCGCCATACAATTTCTGTGCCCAGATGTGGCCCTCAGGCTAAGAAGTTTGTCCACCCCTGGTGTAGTGGCTAGAGCAGGGCAGGACTGGGGATCAGGACTCCTGGGCTCTCTCCCGGCTCGGGGAGGGGAGTGGGTTGTAGTGGTTGGAGCAGGGCAGGACTGGGGATCAGGACTCCTGGGCTCTCTCCCAGCTTGGGGAGGGGAATGGGGTGTAGTGGTTGGAGCAGGGCAGGACTGGGGATCAGGACTCCTGGGCTCTCTCCCGGCTCGGGGAGGGGAGTGGGTTGTAGTGGTTGGAGCAGGGCAGGACTGGGGATCAGGACTCCTGGGCTCTCTCCCGGCTCGGGGAGGGGAGTGGGTTGTAGTGGTTGGAGCAGGGCAGGACTGGGGATCAGGACTCCTGGACTCTCTCCCAGCTCGGGGAGGGGAGTGGGATATAGTGGTTAGAGCAGGGCAGGACTGGGGATCAGGACTCCTAGACTCTCTCCCGGCTCGGGGAGGGGAGTGGGATATAATGGTTAGAGCAGGGCAAGACTGGGGATCAGGACTCCTGGGCTCTCTCCCGGCTCGGGGAGGGGAGTGGGGTGTAGTGGTTGGAGCAGGGCAGGACTGGGCATCAGGACTCCTGGGCTGTCTCCCGGCTCTGCCCTGGAGATGCAGCGTGGCTTTGTCACTGGGTGCTCTGAGGAGCTGCGATGGCTGGTCCAGGTGTGTTTTGAGGTCCCAGGGTAGGTCCCCTGGAGAGTAACCGAGGCCCCAATGGGCCCCCCCCGGGCAGCAGCTCCCCTGTCCTTGGGGCCCCTGAGCTGCTTTTCCTTCTGCCCAACACCGGGCACCTGCCTCCGCTCCAGCCGGGGCCTGGGAGCCGCGTGCCCAGGAGCCGCTGGGCCCCAGCAGAGGGGAAGAGAGAGACGAGAAGGGGAAAGAGGAGACCGGCCCGGCAGTGAGACCCCCAGCCCAGAGCAGGGAATCCCTGGGCAGCGCTGATGGCTGGTCGGAGAGCGCCTCCTGGTGGAACATCCCCCCACCTGCAGGCTCCAGCTACATGCAGCCAGTTCATGCCGTTCCCCTCTCTTCCCACCAAGGTTTTCTCAAGTCTCTCTGTGGCGCGGCCTTTTCCCCCACTCCCCGGGATACCGCCTCTGCTCTGACACCCCTAACCTCTCCGCTGGTGGGAACTGGGTTTGCCAAGTGCGCAAGGTGGGGATCTGGAGCCAGGACACCCCCACACCCCGCCCCCCTGTCCCACAGGGCTGTTTGCAATTGCCTCTGTCGGTTTCTTGGAACAGTGCAGCTGGTGCGCAAACGGGGCAGGGCGTGGGAAGCTCTACAGCAAGTCACCCCAAAACTGGCTCTGCGGGGGGAGGGGAGGGTGTGGCTGGGTCTCGTGATATTTCGTGGCACTCAGGATCGGGACCCCGACTCTGTAGTCGGTGGGGGGGATATGCTAAAAGTGATTATTCGACGTGATGTCCAGCGCACGAAGCAGCCGGCCTGAGCCAAAAAACAATGGCCCAGATTTGTAAATTCCCCTCGACTCCAAGTGCCCAAATCCCTTGGGGGAAATGAGATTGGGGCTCCTGAAGCCATTAGGTGACGCCAGGCACAGCAAGGCTTAAATGCCTTTTGAACCCTGTGCCTAAGCATGCGAGGGGGTGGGTTTGCGGCAGGCAGGAAGGGTCGAGCCGCTGTGAATTTTCCAAGGCTGATCCCTTTGGCGGGGGCGGGGGGGTTCGAACAAACCTCGTGGGACTCAGTGACTCCAAGGGGCGATGCCCGGTTACACCTGCTGGGGGTCTGGCCCTGTTGAGGCCAGTGGAGTGACACCCACTGAGCCCAGCTGGGGAGCCTGGTCCATCCCGGCCCTGTTTTAGTAGTGCTGTTGGGGGCGGCTCCTGGCTGGGGGGGTCTCGCAGCCTGTGGGGTCCGTCCCACGAGGACAGGCTGACTCTGGGGAGAGCCACGCTAAACAGAATGGACTTGCCCTGCACAGGGGCTACTGGCCTCCCCTCCAGATAGGGCCTGAGGGAGCCTGGGGCTGGGCTAGCAGGTGTTGCGGGTCAGGAGCGAGGGGCACCGGCAGAGCTGGGGGGAGCCCAGAGCTGGGGTAGCAGGGGCTGCGGATCGGGACTGACAGGCATAAATATTTCACCATCTAAATTAAAAGAGGTAAAACTGCTCGATATGTGTGTTTGTAGCTAGAGAAATTTACTTATTCAGATTTAAAATAATAAAGATTCCCATCCACAGGGCTAGTTCGGTAGAGGGGTGTGTGGGGAAGGCTGGATGAGGGAATGGATGGAGAGAGGGGAGCGTATGGAGATGAATTGAGGGATGAGGGGTGTGGATGGATGGAGAGATGCAGATGGAGGGACGGATGGATGCGGGGTGAGGATGGAGGGATGCAGATGGAGGGATGAGGGGGTGGGGATGGTTGGACAGATGGGGGTGGGGATAGATAGCTGGGAGTTGTGGGGTGTGGATGTATGGTTGGACAGATTGTGGGGTGGGGATGGGGGGTGGGGATTGAGGGATGGATGCGGGGGTGGGGATGGAGGGATGGAGTGAACTCGTCCTGTGGTCGATGCTATTTAAAATAACCCGTCCACATCTGGGCTGTTTCTCTTCCAGTCTTGGTTCCTCTGATGGGATCTTCAAGAAAGAGACGAGAAATCTCTCCCTAAAGCCCCCCCATGGAAGCGTCCGTCCTTCGCCCTGGATCTTCACTGAGCTGCTCCTGTCGAGACCAGGGGGGGGTGCCCAGCTCACACTACCGATGAGAAAAGTCCAATCCCCTCCTCCCAGCCCCGATCCAGAGCCAACTGGAATCGACGTGGACGAGGTTGGTCCTCTCCGATGCGGAATCCCCGCGCCACCCTTGGGAAGTAACGTCACAAACAGCAAAGCCCAGCGGCCCTGCAGCGATCGCCACAGGTCGGCTGCTCCGGAACAGCGCCTCTCCCCTGTTCTGGGGCAGCCCCGGACGCGCCCGGTTTGAAATCTCCCGAAAACCACCCAGAGTGCTTATGTTTGCCAGGAGAGAGGGGGAAGTGCTGGGATCTTCCAGAGCTGCAAGTGACTTAGGATGGCAGGTCGGGGCAATGTCCAACAGCCCAGGGCACGGTCTGACCTCATAGGGCATCCAGACTGCAGCCATGCCGTGTGATTGCACCTCGCATAGGCCGACCCGAGCTAGCAATCAGGTGCCGGGAAGCCGCAGCAGCGTGGGTGAGCCCCGGGTAATTACCCAGCCGCGGCATCCTGCTCTGGCACCCGCAATAGCTCGGCTGAAGCCGGGTGTGTCTGCATGAGGTGCAGCCCCGCCGGGACCTCCCTGCCGGCACTGGTTCGGCTCCTGGGGTGAACAGAGCACAAACGGAACTGACTGGCCTGTCCCACAAACATATATAAGAGTTCAAAATTTTTTCCTGTCTCAAATTGGGCTGAAAAATGGAAATCTCAAAAATATTCGCCAGCCGGAAACCTGACGAGTTTTTTGTTGGGCGTCAGTTGAAATATTTTGTTTTTTCCATTTGGGCCTTTTTTTGTGGGGTTTTAACTGTATTTTTTTCGGTCAAATAAGCTTAAAGTCTGGTCGAACCAGAAAACTAGATGTTTGTTCCCGATCAGGAGACGCAGCCGACCTGCCCGTTCTGGGAACGGTTCCATTTTGGCAAAGCTGCGATTTCCAAGGAAAAAATGATTTGTCAGAGACTCCCGGCCAGCGCTGGGCGATGGGAAATCGGTGCCTTTTTCACGTCAGTGATCTTAACCGGCCCTGTCACTGTTTCACTTGCCTCGTCTGCATGAGAAAGCAACACTGGCTTAACTTCACCTGCTTTAAAGCCACAACTCAAGGGGTGAATTTAAACCGGTTTAAAGGGCCTACTGTGAACCGGGCCGATAGAAGTGGTTTGACATTGATGTAAGTGTTTCCACACAGGTTCCATCAAACCGGTTTAACTAAAGTCAGGCCAGTTTTGCAGGGAACAAACTTTGCGCATCCAAGTCACGTTGGCGCTCTGGAAATCATCCCTCTGTGCCCAGCAATGAGCCACCTTCCCGGTTCAATTCGGTACGCTCGGGCCGGGGATAGGCTGCTGACCAAGGAGCCCCAAGGGTGGGTCCCGTCCGTCTTCATCCTGGGGCAGCCAGATTCTCCAGGGTGCCTGGGAAGATCCAGCCCTGGCAGGGTGTTTGCTGGGAGCCTTGAAGAAACGCAGCCAGGAAGGCTACAAAACTTCCAAGCTTCCTCGTGGCTGCCCTGCCCCTACCTCGGCTGGCTCCGGCTGGCCCTCGGGCTGCGTCCACAGCGCTCCCCCCGCCGCAGGGCAGCTCGGGACCTTAGCCCAGCACAGCCTGCAGGGACCGGCTCTCGGAGCTGAGCGGTGCCGCTGAGGATGCTGGGAGTTTACCCAGGATGCTCGGTGGCCGAGGGACTGAGGTTGGCTCCCAGCACATAAGCTTCTTTCCCCCCAAACATAAGCACCGGAGATTGTCCCCCCTCGTTCCCGCCGTACGGGGCGTCGTGAGGAAGGCTAAGCAGAGATGCTCCCGGCTTGCCCGGCTGCAGGGGCAGAGGGGGGCCGCACGCGCTCCCTTCCCAGCCCCCCCGTCAGCCTCTCGCTCGAGAGCCCCCCCAGGCTGATGAAATGGGATTCTGCCTGGGGGGGAACAGTTAGATTATGTTAGAGAAGAGGGCATCTAGTCTCCTTCCCAGCTCTCCCAGTGGCTCCCAGCATGGCCCCGCCTTTCCCCCCCACAATGGGGCTCTCTCCAGCCCTGCAAGTGCAGCGTTGGGGGGGGTCCCTTTGCTAACACCCCCCCCCCCAAGGAAATCAGCTTCACCTGAGGATGCCCACCAGTGCTGCCAATCCCCGGGCGTGGCTGCCCCCCTCCCTTTCCGAATGCCCCCCCCCCGGCGAAAGTGCTGGGGGTGCCGCGGCAGCTGGCTTGGGCCGGGGCGGGGGCATCTGTGAGGTTTGACTAGGTCGCGTCTAAGCTAGCTCAGCTGATGGCTATTTTCTTTCCCCGTCTCCCCACCGCGATCTGTTCTCGCTTCCTTCCTTCGGATTTGCTGCTTGGTGGTTGGTTTTTTTGTTTTAAATAGTTGGATCCTTTCTCTTTTCTCCTCCTTCCTTTCTTCCTTCGTCGTAGCTTGGTGGTTATTTTAGGGTTTGGGGCTTTCTGTACATACAGGCGATCAAACGAACTAGGGCCAGAGTAACAAACGCGCCACGCCCCAGCCAGCACTCACTCGAGACGCGCACTCAGAGCCGTCGGGAAAGCTCTGGCCGGAGTCCGTAGGTCTCACGCCAGAGAGATGCGGGTACGTTTTGGTGCGGCTTTGCTGCAGGGCCATGGGAAAGGTTCAGTTTTCCTGCTGGTCCAGAGCACACAGAGTCCTTGCAGTCACCCAGCCCGCCACACGCACTGTCTGTTTCGCTTCTGAAAATCCATTTGAAAACTCTCTCTCTCCATCTCGTACCCACCTTTGAATCATCGACATGGTCGTCTTTATCTTTATATTTTTTAGAGACACAGGGACCCACCTCTCCACCCCGTTATAGGGCCCAGGGCCTGCGATGCTGAAATGCAGCCACCTCTGGGGTGGTGCAGGCCGGCTGTTGGTAACAGCAGCGCTGTAGGGTAGTTTTAGGACCGGAAGTGGGGATGGGGGAATCCTGTAGCTGGATGAAACCCCCAGGAAGGGGGTGGGAGTTAGGGAGGTCAGATTGGGGTCACCTGAGCTGGAGTTTGGCCCGGATGCCTGGGTTCAGATCTTGAGTCTTGCAACAACAAAAAAGCCCTAGCAGTAGTAAAAGTCCCAGCAGAGTCCCTCGGGGATTGGGGGCTACAGGGCTGTACATGCCCCCTCCCCGCCCCCCACTTGGGCCCTGTCCTGGGACCCCCTGTCTCCCTCCCGAGAGAAAATCACAGATCCCATCTCTTGTGCCTTGGGAAATGAGGGAGCCCTTGTGGGCCCAACTAATCAGGGGCTGGCGCCTCCTCCCGCAGCACAAATGCTCCCCCCAGCAGAAGGGTTTTTTCAGGGGGGAGGGCTGGGAATCTGCACTCTGGAAAATGCCGAGTTTCCGGTTCTGTTGGAGAAGCAGGGTCCACGTGGGAAACCAGACAGCTTCAGGCTGAAGCCTCCTGCACAATTCCCTGCCTGCCCCGGCCCCAGCTCTGGGGGCATCAGTGGGGTGCAGGGCCCCACCCCCTCCATCTCGTTCCCCAGCAAAGCCCCTCAGCCCATGGAGGGGCTAAAACCCCACCGGGTCCCCCCCTGCCCCCGGCGCGCAGCTGCAGGACAGTTGGGCAGCGCCGGTTTGTCTGGGGGCGACTCCGTCTGCTAGATGAGGAGTGACAGGCCCTATGAGCGCTCGAGCTCCAAGGACGGACACAGCCCACCGGGACTAGCTGGTGCCCGGGGCGAACGCTGCAGTGCTCTGAAGGCCGAGTGCCCCCCCAGGGCGTGTGCACAGAGCAGGCCCTGCCGTGCTCTGCAAGCTGTGCCCCCCCCGACCCCCCCCAGTGAGTGCACGTCACTGGCTTGGACACAAGCTCCCTGGGGCCTGCCTGTCGTAGCCCGATCTCCACTGCCCTGGTGCTAATCTGGAGTCACTCCAGATGGGTCATTCTGGATTTACACCTGGGCAGCTGAGAGCAGAATCCAGTCCCTGGCCCCAGTCCATAGCCCTTGTTCTCAAGCAGAGCCCAAGCGCTGGGCTTGGACAGGCTGACTCCAGCCGAAGCCCCGGGGGGGCCTAAGCCAGGGGCCAAACCATTAGCGGGCGTAAAGCCTGTGGGGTCAGTGGAGCCAGTTGAGTGACACCCATAGACACCACTGGGACCTGACCCACTTTTTCTTTGCACACTGGGCCCCCTCCTGCATTTCAGCGCCACCCGATGCTGTCGCCCCAGCACCTAAGGGCGGCCTTACGCTTTCCCTTTGAGCCAAGAACTGCTCTGGGATGGGTCAGGAAGCTCGCTGGGAAACCCCACAGGAACCCTCCCTGGCCTTCCCGGAGAGACACTGAACGTTCCCTTAAGTGCCACACTTAAAACCACTCCGGTGTGTTACCGTACCGCTGCCCGGCTCCCGGGGGGCTCTGCTGGGGGAGCAGTAATTCCTAGCACTGGGTATTTTTTGCAAATATTAATCAAAGTTACCGCAAGCTATGTCCCCGGTAGCCGCTCAGAGCAGCCCTGTGGCATTCGGCAACGTTCTCCCAGGTGGGCCAGACAAAGGCAGGGTCCGGCTTGTTCTCAGAGGCCAAACGTTTGTTGGGAACAAGAATTCAGGGTGTCTCAGCTCCAGCCTTGGAACCGTTCAGCTGCCTCCAGCCACACGTGTCCGTAAGATCAGGGCTTTTGAGTCCGGGCCCACCACCCTTTTCGCATTTAAAAACCCTGGCGGTTCGTATCCGTCTGTTTCCAGCCAAGGCCCCGATTCAGTGCTGCACTAAAGCACATGCTTCACGCTCATGGAGTGCGTCTACCCTGCAGAAACACCCCGTAGGAGCCAGGCTGGAGCCCGGCTGTCTGCCCTGCTGTTCCTAGCTTGGTGGCATGAGCCCGAGGGGGATGAGCCGGGCTCCGAGACTAGCTGCTGTGGGGGGTTTTCCCAGTATAGCCGTAGTCCCATCTCGGCACCGGCATCTCTGACAGAGGAACTAACCAGGGGGTTAGCGGGACCCTTTCAGGAGCCAGAGGTGAGCAAGGCTGGCTGCAGCAAAGTGAGACTCACTCGAGAATGTGTTTAAAAAATGGAAAAAAAAAAAACTTTTAAAAAAAGCTACAAATATATATATAGGGGGCTAAAACTGAACAAATGTTGTTTTCTTTGAGCCAGTGCAATGACTTGCATAGTTTTAATATCTTTGTATGTTAAAGATTGTTAAGCAGAAGAAAAAAAATCTATTTTTCTTGAGATGTCCTGTTCCCGGGGACTCTAAATACACAGGGGAGAGAAAACCCAACCTTTGTAAGTATGGGAAATTCTTCTTCTTCTTCTTCTTCTTCTTCTTCTTCCTGTTTATTTTTTCATTCATTTATTAATTTTTATTTTTATTTTTGCCTTTTTCTCGTTTCTCTTTTTTGGGGGGGGGTGGGGGGAGGCTGAAGGGAAGGTTTTTTCAAGCAAAACAGAAAAGACATATCTATCTCGGTTCCAAAACCGCGGAGAGAAAAATGTAAAAAAAACCCCTAAAGTGAAGACACAAGGACGGCGAGAAAAGAAAAATGATGAAAAAAACTCATAAAAAAGAGAAAATTAACAAAAAAAATGATATATAAAACCACAAATCCTGGTGCTTTTTACAATATAAAGGACATTAAAAACCCTCTATTATACATAGTTTATGAACCAATTAATTGTTATCATAAAGCACATTTTAGGAAACATACATTATCCTTTCTTTATGTTTAACTGAAAGGGGCAGGACGGACTGCGGTTATCAGAGGCACCCGGCTTTTGCTGATCTTACTGGGGGGGGCAAGCGAGAGAAGTGGGGGGGGGCCTGCCTTGGCCAAGGGGTCCCCCCCCAGCTGGGTGTCACACACACACACACACCCCCGCCAGGTGTCACACCTCCCATGTTGATGGGTTGAACCCCTTTGTGCTGATTCCCCCTCCCCTCCGCCTTGGTCCCTGGAGAAACTTTAGTTGGAATCAGGCCCGGCTCCCCCTTGCCCCCCCCTCTGCCCCCCACCCCCCAGGGAGGATTTTTCTTTGGAGCCAAAAGCCAACTTTGATCTCACCAGCATTTTGTCTTGGAGCCTTTTTCAGAAAGTTGGTTGCGTTCCCCCCTTTTTCTGTTCTCCAGGGCGGGGTGGAGGGGATCCCCTCCCTTTTCCCCTGATGGACGGGGGGGGGAGACACCTGGGATTGGAGCGGAGCCCCATTCCCATCTCCCCCAGTGACAGAGAAGTGCCACTGGAGGAAGGACCCTTTGGTTCAGGAAGGGCCAAGCCCTGCCCACGCCTTACCCGCCCGCACTGCCTGGCAGCCGACGTGCCTTCACCCCCTTGCTGGCCCGGACGGACGGGGGGGGGCTGAGCTGCTCAGCCGACCCCCCAGCCGTGCCCCCCAGTGCCACACGGCCACGCAAAGCAATAAAGACCCCAGTTTCCACCAACAAAGACAAAAGATGCTAATCGCCTGTGGGGGTGCGACACAAGGGGGTCCAAACTGGATCCTGTGCCCCCACCATGGAATCGTGGGGCCCAATCTGGATCCTGCCCGAAATCCCAGGGCCCAATCTGGATCCTGCCCCACCCAAAATGCCAGGGCCCAATCTGGATCCCATGCCCCCCAAATTGCGGGTCCTGTCCCCTCTCACCCTAAGAGCTGGGAGGGCCCAATCCAGATCCTGGCCCCCTCCCCGCACCCCAAAACTGCCAGGGAAAGAAGCCGAGGTGGACATTTTCCAAAGTGGCTTCTGATCTTTGGTTTGGTCTCCATCTTCTCCCCCTCCCCATCCCCCACTCTCCCCCTTTGGAAACCAGGCTCAACCTGGGCCCCTGGATGGGGGCAACACCTGCCCCCCTCCCCCGCAAAAAAATCAGAGCGCCCCACTCCGAAACAGGCCGCTGAGTGCATGCTCCCCCTTTGCTAGGCCGGGGTCAGCCCTTTCCACCATCCCCCCCCCCCTCCATGCTACTCCCAAGGGGTTCACCCACCGCAGCCCCCACCCCCACTGCCTCTCGCTCTAGGGCCCCCCCCCCCGTTAGGCTGCATCGCAATGAGCCAGCTGCTCCCGCCCGTCCGTCTCTGCCCCTTCCAACAAGTTTCTTCGTAGGGTAAGAAACGCAGTATATCTGAGTACAGTACAGTATATATATATAGTACTAATGGCCTTGAGTGTGCTTCTGTCTCGCGCCCTCCGTGCCCCCCCCCCCGCCGTCCCCCCCCAGCTCGCGCGAACGCGCCTTCCTTCCTTCCGCCGCCTTTGCGAATAAAGCGTAGTTCTTCGTCTGGTTGCGTCCCTGCGCCGGTCCCCGCCAGTCTTAGCAGGCGCAGGTTAGCCAGCCGCGCCGATCACGTCAGCATCGCTTCCCCCACGGGAAAAAAAAAAAAAAAAAAAAATCGACAAAAACAAAAGACAAAAAAAAGGATAAATAATAAAATGCAAAAACCCTGTTATACCCGGCAACCGGCTCAGGTCGTGCTTCCTTTCGCGGTGCCCCTCCCGCCGCGTGCTCCCCAGCCCTGCCGGCCGGGGGGGGGGCCAAGGGGCGGGGGGGGGCTGGCAGGGGCGTTCGGTTGGGAGGAGCTGTGCGGACACGGCGCGTAGACCCCCCCCCACACACGCTGCCCCCCCCCCCCCGCCCTGTCTCGTGTGGCGCCACCTCCCGGCAGCAAAGGGCAGCTCCGGGCCCGGCGCTGGCTGGGTTTGGCAAAGGGCCTCGGAGACCTCGGGCTCCGGGGGTCCCATGTTCGTGTCCTGCCCGCTGGCTCACTGCCCCCCAAGCAGACAAGGCCGGGGGGGGGGGGAACAATGTGTAGGGGGGGGGTGCTGAGAGCCACTGAACCAAACTGGAAACCCTGCCTGTGCTGGGCACCGCGGCAGCCCCCCCCCAGCCCCAGTCCCAGCCCCCCCCCCAGCCCCAGCATCGCTGGCCAAGGCGAACCCCAGGCCCTGGAGGCTGCGGGCAGAGCCCTCGCCTGCTTATGTGCGTGTGGTGCGCAGCGTGATGGGGCTCCCTGGAGGCCGGTCCTGCCTCTGCACTAGCCAGCCGGGGGCCCGCCCCGGCCCTGTGTGGTGCCTCAGTTTCCCCGCTGGCCCTTCAGTGAGTTAGCTTGTGAGCTCGTTGGGGCAGGGCCCGGCCCAGCGGGGGCCCTGGTCTCAGCAGGGGTCACTAGCCGCTGTCATCGCACGAATGCCCCAGACACCCGCGTGCAGCCCCCTGGGGCTGGATTTCCGCGTGGGGACAAGCGCTGGTGGGGTCAGAGCTGAGCTGGCGCCCGGGGTGAAATCTGGCGCCGCTGACACACGCGGCAAAGCCGCCTCCGGCATCGCGGGGGGCCAGGCGTGGGCCCACCCCACACACGGCAGCCTTGGCCGGGGGGGCTGGAGCAACCTGCCCTGCTGCCCCCCCCCACTGCTCCCGCAGCGTTTAGCCCCTGATGTTCAGAGGTCGCCAGCCACCTGCAGCCGCCCCGTTAGGGAAAGTGCCTTAAAAACCCCTCAGGAGAAACAAACCTGGGCGATCGACCCCTTTAGTCCAACCCCCCCGCCCCCCCACCGCAGCCCACGTCTCGGGCTCTGACTCTCCCTGCCAACGGGGGCACTGCTGAGACCCCCCACACGCCCCCACGGCCTGGGGGCAACCCAGGTGCCCCAGAGGGAGGGGCTGCTGAGGGGATCAGCCCCCCCCCCCCCGCCGCCCCCAGAGAAGGGCGCTAGCTGTGGTGCCATGGGGTGCACAGCTCCTCCTGCCCATCTACCCCCCCGCACCCCCTCGGGCAGCCCCCCACCAGGGTGCTACACGCATGTTCATCGCCATGTCTGTTCCAGCGTGAACCTTTACAGAGGCACCATCGCTACCCGACTGAATTAAAGTCTGTACGACCCACCTGCCTGGGGCGGGGGGCTTAGCCTGAGACACCGCCCCCTCCCTCTGACCACTAGGCCCCACTCCCCTCCCAGAGCTGGGGAGAGAACCCAGGAGTCCTGGCTCCCAGCAGCCCCCCCCCGCTCTGACCACTAGGCCCCACTCCCCTCCCAGAGCTGGGGAGAGAACCCAGGAGTCCTGGCTCCCAGCAGCCCCCCCTGCTCTGACCACTAGGCCCCACTCCCCTCCCAGAGCTGGGGAGAGAACCCAGGAGTCCTGGCTCCCAGCAGCCCCCCCCCCGCTCTGACCACTAGCCCCCACTCCCCTCCTAGAGCTGGGGAGAGAACCCAGGAGTCCTGGCTCCCAGCAGCCCCCCCTGCTCTGACCACTAGGCCCCACTCCCCTCCCAGAGCTGGGGAGAGAACCCAGGAGTCCTGGCTCCCAGCAGCCCCCCTCCGCTCTGACCACTAGCCCCCACTCCCCTCCCAGAGCTGAGGAGAGAACCCAGGAGTCCTGGCTCCCAGCAGCCCCCCACAGCTCTGACCACTAGCCCCCACTCCCCTCCTAGAGCTGGGAAGAGAACCCAGGAGTCCTGGCTCCCAGCAGCCCCCCCGCTCTGACCACTAGCCCCCACTCCCCTCCCAGAGCTGGGGAGAGAACCCAAGAGTCCTAGCTCCCAGCAGCCCCCCCTGCTCTGACCACTAGCCCCCACTCCCCTCCTAGAGCTGGGAAGAGAACCCAGGAGTCCTGGCTCCCAGCAGCCCCCCCCCGCTCTGACCACTAGCCCCCACTCCCCTCCCAGAGCTGGGGAGAGAACCCAAGAGTCCTAGCTCCCAGCAGCCCCCCCTGCTCTGACCACTAGCCCCCACTCCCCTCCTAGAGCTGGGAAGAGAACCCAGGAGTCCTGGCTCCCAGCAGCCCCCCCCGCTCTGACCACTAGCCCCCACTCCCCTCCCAGAGCTGGGGAGAGAACCCAGGAGTCCTGGCTCCCAGCCGCCCCCCCGCTCTAACCACTAGCCCCCACTCCCCTCCCAGAGCTGGGGAGAGAACCCAGGAGTCCTGGCTCCCAGCAGCCCCCCCGCTCTGACCACTAGGCCCCACTCCCCTCCCAGAGCTGGGGAGAGAACCCAGGAGTCCTGGCTCCCAGCCGCCCCCCCGCTCTAACCACTAGCCCCCTTCCTTACAAGGGAGACCCAGAGGCTGGGGGGGAAGCAGCTGAGGGGGCACAATGGGGGGAGGGCTGAGGGGCTAAACCCCGGGGGGGGGAAGGGACACACAGGCTGCTCCATGGGGGGGCTGATCCTTGGGGTACCACCCTCCCCCAGGGCATCAATGGGGGGGCACTTCTTGGTCACTGCTGCTCACCCAGCAGACCCTGACCCCCATCCTATGCCCAACCCCCACCTCTTGTCTGCCTGGCACCCCCACTCCCCACCCCATCGCCAACCCCCCGTCGCCCCCAGGCCCATCGCCAACCCCCGTCACCCCCAGACCCCTCGCCAACCCCCAGCTGTGCCCCCCACAGGCCCATCGCCAACCCCCGTCACCCCCAGACCCCTCGCCAACCCCCAGCTGTGCCCCCCACAGGCCCATCGCCAACCCCCGTCACCCCCAGACCCCTCGCCAACCCCCAGCTGTGCCCCCCACAGGCCCATCGCCAACCCCCGTCACCCCCAGACCCTTTGCCAACCCCCAGCTGTGCCCCCCACAGGCCCATCGCCAACCCCCGTCACCCCCAGACCCCTCGCCAACCCCCAGCTGTGCCCCCCACAGGCCCATCGCCAACCCCCGTCACCCCCAGACCCCTCGCCAACCCCCTGCTGTGCCTCCCCCGGCCCATCGCCAACCCCCCAGCTGTGTCCCTCCCCCCAGGAAGCCCGCGGGGTCTGGCAGGGGTAGGCCGGGGCTGACTCAGCACCAACCACCCCCCTGCGGCCAGGACCCCCCCCACCAACAGCGCCGGGTGGAGCAACAGCTCCGCTTCCGCAGGGCGGCCCTGGCGGGGGGGGGGGGGGGCTGCAGCCCTCCAGGGTCCCCCCCACGCCAGCTCTGCCGGTGCCCCTCACTCCCGACCCGCAGCCCCCCACGGCTGTGCCAGCCCTGGGTTCCCCCCCCGCCGGTGCCCCTCACTCCCGACCCGCTGCCCCCCACGGCTGTGCCAGCCCTGGGTTCCCCCCCCGTGCCCCCCCCTCCCCCCCCCCTCCCCCCCCCGCTGCCGGTGCCCCCCCCCCAGCCCTCCCACTCCCGACCCGCCGCCCCCCACGGCTGTGCCAGCCCTGGGTCCCCCCCCCCCCCACGCCGGTGCCCCTCACTCCCGACCCGGTCTCCTTCCCCCCAGACGGACGGGGCAGAACCTGGGGGCTGAGCTGTTCTCAGTGGGTTTGGGGCTTCAGGGAAACCACCAGGACCCCCAATTGCTGTGTGCGCCCCCCCTGCACAGCGAGCTCCTGCGGGGGGGGGGCTGGAACCCTGGGAACCCCCCCGACCATCTTCTCCGGGCAGCGCTGGTCTCCATGCGGGAATCTTCATGGGCATCGCCCCTCTCCCCTCCGCTTTGCTTGGACGAGGGGGATCTTGGCTGGGGGGGGGCTCTCCCCATTGCTGAGTCACCCCCCTCCCCTGACCTCCCAGACCCCCCCACCCCACCCGCAGGCGCTGGGTTCACATTCCTGGGGGGGTCCCCCAATGATGCCACCATGGAGCCCCCTCCCCCGCCAGGCCACGTGTGTGTCCAGGTGTTAGGACCGCCCCCCAAATCTCCCCGCTTGTGCACCCTCCCCCCAAAGGCCTTCCAGGACCCCCCCACCTCTGCCCCATGGCTCCCCTCGCCTTGAGTTCAGTCTCTCCAGCGCCCCCCCCCCCACGCCCCCCAAAAGAACAAGGCCCAGGCTCGGCTCTGCGCACTTCGTGTTTCTTTCGTGGGCCGCGTGGCTACAGCCCAGACAGGGTTAAATTAAAAACCACCCGGCTCCCCTCCCCCATCGCAGGGCAGGACCCCCGCCCCCCAGACACGGGGCCGGGGGGGGTCTCCCACCCCAGCGTTGCTCACTCCTGCGCCCCCTGGCGGAACGGGGAGCAGTTCTCTGGGCCCAGGGCACTGGGGGGGTCTTAGCCCCCCCCGGGTTAAAACACAGACAAGGCCATTTCAGGATGCGGGGGCTCTTTGCCAATGGGGGGGGGGGCATACGGTGGGGGGCTCTGTCGCGTGCTGGGGCGCTGCCCCCCATTCTCTCACCCCCCCGCCCCACATTTCCCACCCAGCGCCGACACGTCTCCTCGGGGGCCAGAAGCAGCTGAGACTGGATCAACCTCATCACAGCGGTGACCCGCCAAGGTCCCAGCCCCACTTGACACCTGGGCGGGGCGGGCGGAATCCGGAGCGCGCCCCCCCCTTGCAATGCCATTCCCCGGGGGGGCGGGGCCCGCCCCCCTCCCAGTCCAGAGTCACCCCCCCCCAAATCCAGTGCGGGGGGGAAGGAAGGGGGGGGCCGCCAATCATCACCGGGCGTCCCCCGCGGCCGCGGCCCCCAGCAGCGTCCGGCGCTCCCGCTTGATGGGGCGGGGGGCGGCCCCCCGCGGCGCCTCGCCCCCCGGGCTG